AGGCAATATTACTAATATGAAGTAAGATTTGAGGTAAAATTTATATTCAAAAGAATTGCCAATAGCACTAAAGCCAGATCGTGAAAACCCAACCAACGCTCATTAGAGTTGAGTTGAATCTTGGAGGTGCGCTCCACAAGCGCAAACCAATTTTTGGAAAGCAGCATGCAGCAACTCTTTTCCGGAGAGAAAAGTAACAAAAGATTAAAGATGTAAGCAGAGGAAGGGAAAGAAAACAGAAATCATAGGGTAGACACGTTTCGGCGAAAAATGGCAATACACGTGTCCCTAGAGAAGATAAATAGGTTCATTCACCAATGACATAGTACTTGGTAATTGCAATTATACCCGTATCATATGTTCTTCTCTGAACACGTGTATTCCGCTTCTTATTTCTCCACTGCTATACACTACAAGAAAAAGTTTTATTAGGAACCAGCATTTAGCGACCAGTTTAAAATATGGTCCCTAAAAGTATATTTATAGGGATGAGAATTTTTTTGGTCCCTAATATACTTTTTTATTTTCTAAATACACGACAAGATGAATTCTGTCTATATAAAAGTTAATATCTGGTCTATAATACCGGATTTCAGCGGGTTGGGGCGCGAACGTGAAATTAAATTAAAAAAAAATGCTCCAAAAATTAACTTTCACGCTAAAATTCCTCCAAAATTCACTTTTACCCTAAAATCCCGCCAAGAATTCCTTTTACCCTAAAATCCTTACGCGGCACTAATAATTCAATAGAAATCAGAAGGCTTCAACTTCATCACTTAGAAATCAGAAGGTTTTCATCTCTAACCAAGTGACTCTACACAAACTATACCATTGGATAGTCTGCTAATCAAGAGTAAGTTTTATTTTTTTCTCTTTTTATCTATTTTGTTTCTTTTTCTTCTTCGTGTTTTTTCTTCTTCTTCTTCGTTTTTTTTCCGATTGAACCAAAAATCGGAATTGGTTCTGCAATTTTTCTATTTCTTTAGTTGTTTTTTGAAATTGAGTTGTTTTGAGTAGTGATAGTTATTGTGTGAGTGATAAAAATGAGTTAAAGTTGGGGCATGTAGGCCAAGGAGGACAAATTGACCAAAATTGATAAAAAACCTAAAACCAAGTCAAGGCAGCCTGAATTTTAAGAAGCATTGGATTTTTTTAACACACCAAGGAGATGCATAAATGGCACAGTTGTCCCAATTCAATACTTGAATTGAGATCAACTACAAAGGGTGTAATATGGTTTGATCAAGTATCATTGATGCCCCTGGGCACATACAAGGTAATGTATATTTAGGAACTTATTGTTAACTTTGATTAAGGAGTCGAACTATATTAGGTTTAAATTAAGAAAATGCGAAGGCTTGCTAACCATTTAACCAAGAACGTCTAGTAGTTGTCAACCTAACCTGAATAATTTGTCAAATTATTGCAACTATTGGTTGCCCTTGTTTTTCGCTATAAATATTATTACTTAATCGATATTTATATGTCAATGAGCACGGGTGATCAGTTACTCCTTAAAGTAATTGAATGTAACTGAAAATTATGCACACAGTGTTCCTATAATGAAGATAAATGTATTTATTAATGGAAAACTTATGTTGACATTTGTCAAATAAGAATTCAACAATGCCCTAAGTTAATTCCAACATCCTCCTCATGTGTAAGTGCATCAATAACATTTTGAGTTATGATAGCTTTTGCGACATTCTGTCGCACAACTGGAAAAGTTGACTGTTGCTGAGTATTTTCCACCACTGGAGAGTTACCTTGCCTACTTGAAGATCGCACCACTTCTTTCCAGCCATCCCTAGTTGTGTTCTTTGTTATCCCATCAGCCTTAGTTAATGAGTTAGAAGATACTCCTTTAGGTTGCCCAGCTTTTCTAGGTGCAAATTCCAATCGAGCTGTTTGTGCACCAGCATCAACAGTAACAAATGTTTGTGCACTAGCTAGCATCAGCATCACCAGAAGATCTCACTATTTCCAATCATCCCCAACTGTGTTTTTTTGTACCTCCATCACCATTAGTTAATTTTCCATAGTGTGCATGGTCATCTACATTCATGACCCTTCACATATTTTGCATGCAATTGTCCTCTCCATTTGTTCCATAACTCTTTCATCCATCCCATAATATGATCGCGATGGATATCCATGTCATCACTCTTAAATTTATCCTGCAATACATCATACATAGATTGATATCCAATATGATCGCAGGAACTCCATGTGATAGAAGAAAACATAGTTCTACAATAAAGCTTGAATTAACAAATGCCTTAACTTTAAATCAATTTTGTAAATTTAAAACATAGAACATGCACCAACAGTAACTGCATCATCCAGGTAGTCCCAATGGCACCATTAATGATGTGCAAATGCACGAAAATGGTGAATATTTAAGTGTTTCTTCACACTAAAACTGTTCATTCCAATACGGTCATTGTAAACAACTAGGTTCTCTGTTTGGATACCTAACTAGGTACTCTGTTTCTTTCGCTAACCTACTCCATAAATCGATTCATACGGGTAATGAACAAAACAAGCCTGACCAGTGACGTTCCAGAAGCTTACTATGGTAAAAAACACAAGTTCTAGCAAATAGAAAACTGTAAACTTACTGATTCTGCTGAGACATTCTACATCAAAGTTTCATAACAGATCAGCATATTACAATAGAAAACAAACTACATACAAATAAAAGATGCAAGTTGACATCTAGGCCCTAAACTACCACAGATTGCTATTACAATAATTAATTGAATCCAAAAGTCAGTAAACATGTAACAAGAGATGTCCAGAAGGGCGATTCAGATGATACATTCAGCAGCTAATAGGTGCAGGTGACTGATGCACTGGTGCACTAGCAGCAACAACAAAACTGGGAAAAATTTCCTCACCTTTTAAGAGGTTATAGACATCTGATTTCTCGCTCTTACTAGCTCCAGTTTTGCAAATATCAATAGTTCTGTTCAAGTCTGTCTCCTGTGCCAAGAAACGGCTTCCAGAAGGTGCAGAAGGTGCTGGTTTGATAACCACAAATGGAGAAGATTTTGATGTGGATGTAGTATAACAGAGACAAGAATCAACTTTTTTTCCATGCTATAGACATCTGAGAAGCTCTTGCACAAGAAACAACTTTTTTTCCATTTAGAACTATTACACCTAGCTCTAATTGAAATATATAAAATGAACACTAAGCTCAATGCTTAGTGTAATTGCAAAAAATAAGGAAAAAAATAGTTAAGCCCCAAGAATGGATTGAAAAGAGGAAACAAAGGAGATATTGGAATATTCCATCCATTTACCTTAACAGCTGCCCACATGTGATTTAACTTTTCCTCCTTAATGCGATCCCACGATGATACTCCCAACGGACATATATTATGGTCACGAACTATTTTTCCCAAGTGCCTCGAAAATAGATTGCTATTCTTTCCAACTGTTCGATTATTGTAGAATGTTACTTTTAGCTTCTCTCCAACTTCAAGTGATGCAACTTCTTTGCACTTGTTACTTCCTCGAACCTTTTTTACCTTTCCAGCAGTACCTGAACCTACACATGCTTAATTTATAAATGTTAGAAAATATTGTAAAAATGATAAACTTGTGATCAAGCAGACACTAGCTATATTTATCATTTTTTTAATCAAGAACTAGTTATATATATATATATATATATATATATATATATATATATATATATATATATATATATATATATATATATGAAATTCAACCATATCCTAAGGATAGCTAAAAAAACCTACAAGTAAGCACAAGAACATGAAATGCTATTTATCTTTAACATAATCAAAATCCAACTTAAACTGCGCGACATAAAGTATCATCGAGCTTGTAATTCTTTCTGCCCATTTTAGATAGCATAAACTATTCCGAACAAGAAAGAAAAATAAATTTGTATGAAACTATATATAAAAGGTACATTCTTGTTAAATACTAATGTATAAAGATATTATGACTTTTCAAAAGTAGATAACACAAGACATTATGTAACTTTTAATCTAAATCAAAAGAAAACTTTGTCGAGCAGCAGTTATTGAAAACTGAAGGAGGACAACAAATTGTTACTAAGTTACAAGGAGATGCTACGGACTATTTGAATGCTAAGATACAGCAAAAATTTAATGCCTCAGACATTGATAATATTCCAGGAGATCAAGATCTAGATGGAGCTTCTAAGGAAGTGATTGTTTCTACTGCACAAACGGAGAAGGCTAAAGATGATAGACAAAGAGCTAATAGCCAAGGACATGTTAATGTGCAACATAATACGAGGGAGCAGGAGAAGGAGCTGGGGTATATGACTATAAACATCAGGAGCAGGTACAGGTAACTAAGGAGGCAGAAATAACACTTGAAACAGGTGCACAAAACAATGCACCAGGTAACTTCAATGCTGGTGGTTAAACAACTTCTTTGGAAGCTACTTAAGCCAATCCAAGAGGCTCTTAAGAATGTGTCCAAGGGGGTAGACAAAAAACAATGGGAGTGGTTGGTAAAGGAACATTTTTCTACAGAAAGTTTTTAGGTTTGACATAATACCTAATTATATAATTTTATTTTATACAGTGATATTTTAATTGATAACTTATTTATAGCATTTGATTTAATGTTGTCACTCAAATATAGGCGAGAAGTAACATGAATGCATCAAATAGAACTAAGTTGAAGATGTTTATCATATTGGTAGCAAGACAATTAGAGAGATTATTTATCAAAAGGTGTTATCATCAAATCTATTTTTGCTTAATATTGGCGAGACGTTGTTTGACATATTTACTTTTATGTAAAGGGCGAAAAAGATGGCAAACCACCAGATTTGGCAACTATTTTCTTCGAGACTCGCAAGAAGAATAACACACTTATTGAACCTGAAACAATCAAGAAACATGTGCGTTTGGTTAATTGAACATGTTCTTTACTTTTAGTTATTATGGGATCTGATAAAAATTTCTCTATATACTTTGTAGGCTCAAATCAAGGAATTGGTGCAGTCTGAACCGTCACTTCCTAACATAGAGATTGTAGAAAAATGCTTTGGACCTCAAAGTCGTAGTCATGTATTTGGCTTTGGGGGTGGATTAAAGGCGAAAGATTTGAAAGGGGGAACTACCTCAAAAACTGAATTATTGGCTAAGCTACGTTCAACTGAAAATGAAAACCAGTCTTTGAAGGATCGTCTGTCTAACTTCGAAAATGAGATGAGAGAACTGAGGAAAATAAAAGAATTAGTATTAGCGCAACAAACGAATTTCCAGCCTCCAGCTGAGGAAAATGACTATTTGGATCCTTGATGATACCAGGTGAGTAACAACTTACATGAAACCTCAATTTATTTTGTTGATTTAAGTGTATGTTAATCTATGCAAGTGATTTAAGTGTATATTAATCTATGAAACTAATTTCCAGCCTCCGTCGCTAAAGGTTTTTTTGGCAATCCGCTAGGCAAGCGCCTAGGGCTAAGTTTTATTAATATAAAGAAAATTAAAAATAAAATACATTGTCAGGTGGTCTTAATCTATGAAAGTGATAAAATTTGAAAATTACATTAACCCTATTACCAAAATCGAGTATTGAACTAAACATTGATATCACACGATGATTACTAGCTACACTAGTCATGAAATAACTAATAAAGCCAATGTTCTTGTGAAAATTCATTACTGCCTCTAGGCTGGTGGTACTGGTGTCCTTTTGTTGATATTTCCTTGTCGTTGTTGTTGTCCACATGCTGCAACAATTACCATTCTTTTCCTTGGTCGTGCATTTGGGTGTGCAATATTGAAAGATGATCCATGTATTAAAAAAAGGACCCCAAGTTCCTTGTTTTAATAACCCAATGCACTTGACTACAAAGTGTACAACATTGCTTGATAAATGAACCCACGCGTGACAACTTTTTGCTATTTTTGATACATGAGCATGTGGTGCACATACAGCATGCTTGCAATGTTCGATGCCTTGCATAATCCAAGTATTAACACTTTTCCTTTCTCCAGTTACCCGGCACCTCATGTTGACTCCATTTTCAAGTACGGTATGTTTGGTCTCTTGCCATAAGAACTTGAAATTGTTGTGCCGTTGTCCTTTTCGAGCTGTGTGTTTTGTTATTCTTCTGCTGCTTCTATATCTTCCATTAGTGATTGTAGTTGCACCTGTAGCATTCCAGTTTTTAATTTGAAACAATGCATTACTGCACAATCTGGGCAGCCTCTTGTGTAGTGTGTTCCAGTAGACACTGCTGTGTTGCCTACTGCTACTCCTCCAGGTATCCATGCTTTTGTTCATTACTGATATTTCATCATGGGGCTGAGCACAAAGTACTAATACCACCCATAGATGATTTACCAGTAAATGAAGCCTAGACACATTAGCTTTTCCTGCAAAAAAGAAAACTATGTTAGCTACAAAACTGGTTCCTGTAATCTCCTCCTTAAGGATTTGACCACAGTGGATGATATTGCCATCTGCTCCCTTAATTTGCCATTCCAGACCACTGATCATACTTTCCTCCTGTTTGATTTGAGTATAACATTTTAGGACTACCTCTCCAATTGCCTGCATACCACCTCTCCTCGTTGGTACCCCTTTTCCTTCTAGTTTCCTGCAACTTTTACTCTTATATATGGGCATTGTAACTTGTCATCATTCACTATTTTCCTTCCTTGTGTATTCAGCTCCCAGAAATTTTTTGCTTCAATATCTCCAAAGTCCAGAGCATAGTTAGCTAAATGATCAGCTAATTTGTTTCCTTCTCCGAGGGTGTGAGCCACTGTTACATTGCTTCTCCCTCTTCATTCCTCAGCACATATCCTATTGAGCTTCTCCCGGGATTCCCCTTGAGACTTGAGTATCTATACGTCTGTTATTTCTTCAACAGGTTTTGGATATTGAAGTTTACGAGAAAGCCGATTTTTGACGACATAGAAATCAACCACAATTTTGCTTGGAATTTCAAGAAAATTTTACATTACAATCGAGGGATATTATTAGTATATGTAGTTTTTTGCTAAATGTTTATGAACACAATATTGTGACTAGCTTAAATCATTGATGTACGATTCAACTAATTAACTGATGTTGATCATTTTTTGTATTATTTTATGAAAGCAACATTATCTATATATTAATATTTCCAATTTTCTAGTTGCAAACTAAATGTGATTTAGGGACTTGTGACTTGTTTTTTTAGGGACCAGCTTTAAACTTCTCTGAATAGATATAACGGCTGTCACACCTCCTTTTAACACACCTATCCCGAATGATAAATGTATAAGGGAGTTTTTCCATTTAAAGTGACATTATTCGAAATGGGATCATTTATTTATTTTTTAGAGTCGCCACTTGGGATAGGATTGGCTTTTGGTGTCCCAAGTCACCGATTTAATTTAAATCCCAAATCGAGGAAAATTTCGACTCCCCAATTGGGGTCTGCGAACCAGAAATTCTGTGTAAGGAATTCTGTTGACCCGAGGGAAGGTGTTAGGCACCCCCGGATCCCGTGGTTCTAGCACGGTCGCTTAAATTATTATAAATGGCTAAAATCTGGTTTTTATACATATTTAAACCTATAGTGCAATTTTAAGATTATTTACCGCTTTTAGTTTATTTTGTTCTTTACGAAAGTGAACGCCGTTTAAGAGCGTGTTTTTGGATCACGTCACATGAAATGCACCCGGATCCTCAACACCTCTTATTCAACGTTTTGGGATTTGGATTTGGGTTGCATGAAATGCGCACCCGAGTTTAGGAAGGTAAAATTATTAAACAACGCGCCTAAAGCGACTAGCGTGTTGGTATCTTTGCGGGAGACCATGGAAATTTGCTAAATGGCTTACCCGATTTCTAAAATATTTTAACATAGTATTTAATGAGGGCCCCGCAATTTGTATGTTTTATGCGGCGAGGCTCATCTCATGTTTTATTTAAAGAGTATTCTAAAGAAACTATGATTTTCTATTACACTGTTGTCTCTAAAAAGAGGCCCTAATTAATTAGCATTATAAAATTCGGGCCTCAAGTTCAAGTCCGAACTCAAACAAAAGGGAAAAACCTCTTAATTTGAATCCGCTACCTAACTTGAAAGCCCAAAACCCATGTTACAACTTCGAGCTTTCAGCATTGAATTTTGAACTTGGCCCAACAGAATAAAAATGAAATCGTTTTGTGGACTGCTATCAACTTTGGGCCTTGACGCAAGCCCAATTGGGAAAGTAGGTAGACCTGGAACTAGGCCTTGCGTCAATAATGTTGATGCCCAGGACAAATGGCGTGGGCTACCAATTCTGGGCTTATGGACGAGCCCAAACAAAATTACTGGGACGGCTTCAACTTCAAATTTAGTACAACTATCAATAAAAATCTAAATTTTTCTATTCAGATCTATACTGAAGGAATCTTGCAAATAGTTAGAGGATTTGACAACTGAATTAAGGCAATCAAACTCAGTCATGATGTAGAAACGCTGCTTTGATTTCAGAACTAAAATGTAAAGGCACGTGTCGTGTTTGGCTGAACTTAACACATATACTTTTTTTTTTTACCTGTTTTCAACAATCATTCTAACGCAGCTGAAATCTCAAACACAAGAGATAGCTAGACTAAATTTAACCAATGCAGTTCCTATGAGCTAAATAGCTCCCTAATCTGGAGTTGAACCTCGAGTCTATCTAACGACCAGGTTAACACTTACTACTATAATCTGTATCACATTTATAATAATCATATAAGTCCCAAAATAGTNTCTATACGTCTGTTATATATGGTTTTTCTAACTGAATTCTTATTTCTTCAACAGGTTTTGGATATTGAAGTTTACGAGAAACCCGATTTTTGACGACATAGAGATCAACCACAATTTTGCTTGGAATTTCAAGAAAATTTTACATTACAATCAAGGGATATTATTAGTATATTTAGTTTTTTGCTAAATGTTTATGAACACAATATTGTGACTAGCTTAAATCATTGATGTACGATTCAACTAATTAACTGATGTTGATCATTTTTTGTATTATTTTATGAAAGCAACATTATCTATATATTAATATTTCCTATTTTCTAGTTGCAAAGTAAATGTGATTTAGGGACTTGTGACTTGTTTCTTTAGGGACCAGCTTTAAACTTCTCTGAATAGATATAACGGCAAGCTTCTAACTGGTCGTGAAACGTTTTATCGACCATATTTAAACTAGCCGCGAAAATATTTTAAGGACAAGAAATTTACTGGCCGTGAAATGTTTTAACGACCATATTTAAACTAGCCGCGAAAATATTTTAAGGACCAGAAATTTAGTCCCTAAAATATGCAAATAAGCACCAGAAACATGGTCCTTAAAACACATTTAACGGCCAGTTTGAAACTGGTCGCGAAACTGTTTTAGCGATCAGCACACTATCTCGTCCTTAATAACCTTTAGCGACGGAGGTTATAAGGACCAGATTAACTGGCCGCTATTGAGCATTTGCGACCAATTCCTTACTTTTAGGGACCAGTTTTTCCTTCGCTATTGCGCATTTTTCTTGTAGTGATCGTCACGTTATCATTCTTATTGAAGGGGGTCATTGCTGTTACTTTGTTTGCTTACCTTGTAACCTTTTGCTAAATATTCTTATAATCTGATTTAATTTTGAATGTACTCATTGTATTTTTGAATCAAGCACTTATATAGTTATATTCTTTATATTATGACAGTTTTACACTTACATTCTCGCTTTGTTCCCTTGGTGATTCGAACCCACAACCTTTGGGTTGGAGGTGGAAGGTGCCTATCACTTTAATTAAGTTTTACTATGTCATTTAGATATAAAATTAATGGAAAAGGGCTATACGTGTCCATGTACTATCAGAAATTAGTTATAAATAGTCCCCGTTATACTATTCGACACTATCTACCCCTGCCGTTAGTTTTTTGAACATATCTGCCCCTCACATTAACGGATCCAGTTCGTGCGGACACTTGGCAGTATTTTAAACACCCAAATCATTTATCTTCTAATATACAAACCCACCCGATCCAGCCCCAATCTTCTGATCTGAAACCCTTTTGCACTATTTCTGATGAAGGTTCAACAATTTGTTCTTCAACATACAGAGAATCAATAAAAAATGATACAATTAAGCCGCTTGTGTTGAAATTACGCCCTCCATTTTCCGGACCAACAAATTACTAAACTGAAAATTCTTAAATCTCCTAAAGAAACAAGAAACAAACAGGAGTGTTGGTGCTTTCGTTGATTAGTTTTATGATGAAGTTTCTGGGTGGGGCGGTGTAAATAAGGAAGAAAAAGGGTGTTTGTATGCTCTGTTTCAGCAGTGATGTTATGGTTGTCGCAACATATTTTTTGGTTCTTAAGTTGGTGGTTTTAGGCGGAGATGAGTGGTGGTCAACGGAAGGAACTACAGGTAACACAATTAATCATTGAAATACCCAAATCAACAAGACCGACTGATCCATAATTCAAAAATCATCCGCACCTAGCTAAGAACCAAGATTCCTCATTTAGACCCTTCAATGGCAATCAGATTCAAAAGTCAAACCCAGTAAACCTAATCCCAAAGAGGTAAGGTCAATGCAGTAGTAAAAGAAAATGGAAGAGAAAACAAAGATTCAAAAAAGGTTTTTTCTTTTTTGTGGGGTTATTTCAATTCCCCTGAAAATTGAGGAAGTAGAGATTTTGTGAATTTCTACTGGTAATTGTTCAACGGAGGTAGTGTAGGTGTAGCAGTCGTTGAAGAGGAAGAGAGAGTTAGTCAAAGTTTCTAACGTTTCACAGTTCACTATTGTCTATTCGGGTAGGGGCTAAACGGGTTGGGTAACAGGGTATATGGTTTGGTTGTTAAAGTGCCACGTGTCCTTAGAAATGGGTTCGTTAAATGTAGGGGCAAAAATATTAAAATGGGTAACGGTAGGGGTAGATAGTGTCGAATAGTATAACGGGGCTATCTATAACTAATTTTTGATAGTATAGGGACACATCTAGCCCTTTTCCGTAAAATTAATAGGCAACCAAACATAAAAAGTGCGTGTAATTCATACCTTAGAGTGACAAGTAAAAATGGAACAAGCTAATTTAACTTAAACAAATAAAAAGTAATAGTACTACCTCATTCCCCGACGGAAATCGGCCACTATTTGCCATTTCTTAGTTCAAATCCTAAGCTCCATTTCAAAAGCAAAAAAAGACATTCCATTAAACCAAAACGTTACCAACTCAAAAGTATTCTTATATTCTCTTTGAAAAATCAATCGAAAAGCTGGAAGAGGACGAAAAATTTACAGAGAAAAGATCCTTAGGAACTACCAAAACTAGTTTTTTTTGAATGATTTTACACGCTCGAAAAATGTGAGAAATACATGCTTTGTCATGTTAGCTTTTTCGTGTCTAGATGACACAGTAAAAATCTAATTAAAGGGGTCCAATGGAACGTAAGTTTGAGTGCCAAAGTAAAAAGTAAAGATAAATTTAAAGAGTTGTCGATATACTCTGCCTTTTAAGAATGGAAAAAAATATAATCTTATTGATAGAGATACCCCGCCTACCTTTTCAAATACGAGTGAGTGAACGCTTTCTATTTTTGGATATGAATGAATGGGCTCTCCATTTATTTTCAAGCTTCTTCTTCAAACCCACCTATCGCTCTCCATTATGAAAAGGTTTCTTTCGTAGGCTCTCAATAGATATCTATTTCCCTTTCAATGAAAAGAGAACTAGACTCAATTACTACATAGATGAATTTTCATCCAATTAATTAATTTAAGACAATTTAAAGAGGAAGAACAAATAAAAATAAAAATAATGGATTCTTATATAATATAATTTTATAATTAAAAAAATAGCCTACGTGTTTAAAGTATAAGAAAACAGATAGTGCTGCGAGTTAGAAGGGTCATTTGAGCACATAACAATGTTTGTTGTATATATGCCATTACTATTACATATTGGTATTTGTCTAGCAAAATAAGTTCATAAAGTGCCTGTCCGACCGGGTCGTTACAGCAAAGCATAACCACCACCAGAGTGCACGATAACCCCTGCCAAAAGTTATTATTTATATAGTCATTTCAAAACATAACAATTTCCACC